GTCTTGAGCTCCTGGGCTCAAGCGATCTGCCCGCCTCGGCCTCCCAAACTGCTAGGATTACAGGCGTGAGCACCACATCTGGCCCATTTTTTTTTTTTTTTTTTCCTTACAGGATTAGAAGTCGACTTTCAGAAAACTCTTCAACCTTGTAAACTTGATTTTCTACAATAATATGCCTCTAGGATTAAAACAAGATGGAAACAAAGAAGTATGTGTGGACTGCAGTTAAAAGTTTTCAACACAACATAGTTTAGGAGAGTTGACATTTACAAAGAGCAGGAGGCCCGTTCAGTGCCTTCTAGGCATTGGGAACGGCGGTCTGTGGGCGACCCTAACGTGTGCGGTGTCCTGAGACGTGATCGTGGTGCTCACGCTTTTACCGAGGGCCTCCCGGGAGTACCAGAGGCTCTTCTCCTGCAGTCGGCCAGCCGGGCAGCAGCTGCTGGAGAAGGAACAAACAGTAAAAGACAGATGTACACGGTGTTATTATGGCAGAGAGGTTAAAACCAGGCTCACTTTGTTCTCTCACTTTGTTCTTACAGTTTTAAAAAAACTAATAACGAAGTCCTTAAATATGTATTGCGTTTCAGGATTTTCAAGTAGTTGTGGCTGTGTCTGTCTCTCTCTCGCTCCCGTTCGGGTGCTCCCTGCGAAGAGAGCTCAGAGAGGCCACCTTTCCTTGTTGAGGTGACAGGGCCTGGAGAGGTGTGAACCCTGAGGTGGGGGGTTGACTGACTGGGGGGAGGCTGGGTCAGCGTGGGGATCCACCCCCACTCCACGTTCCTGTAGGGAATCCACAGTTCTAAGTCTTTGTGATATGGGTAAAATGAACCTGGAAGAGGTGTTATTTTTTCAGAAGTAAGTGCCATGCTATTTTTTCCTCATACTTCTCCGTGTTTAAGCAGCATTGAAAGATAAGGCACTAGTAGCATGTTGGTTTGGAAACAATCTTGTTGATTATTTTAAGTTGAATCTGATATTAAGGTTGTCTGGTAACAGAAGTTTTCCTTTAACAATATGGAACTCTGTTGAATCTGTTGCCCCATTGGCTGAGCCGTCTGAAGTCAGTGCGGTGGCACCTGAAGAGTCGGCTTCCCCTTGGAGGAAGCCGCTGGATTGGCAAAAGGCATCGTCCTTGATTGAGGGAGTGAGGCGCCTTTGCAGGGACCCCACTGCGGTTCTCTCCTGCCCCTGCAGCTCTCTTGTGCCCCCTGCTGGCTGGCCAAGCAGATACGCGACAGTGTGCTCAGCGTGAATGTTCACGGGGTAGGCCGAGGCTTTTGTTCCAGAAACATTGACTTCAGAAATGGCCGGCAGTGTGTGTTGAGCATGGCAAGAAAGACTTACGTGTGTCTTAAACCTCTTGAACAAAGCAAGTTGATGTTTCAAATGTATCTTGAAGGCTAACGACTTTGCTATGGTCAATATTCAGGAGAAAATAGGGTTTGATGAAATAGATAGGAGTGGCAAGTGAGGTGCTTGTGCCCCGTATGACTAAGCGATGTCCTGGCCGTTCCATACCACGGCCTCTGAGCAGCCAGCATGCAGATACTGGATCAATTTAGATGGGACTCCTGGAGCTGTCAGCCGCCCGGGAGAAGCACGAGGAGTTCTGTGTGCCCATGATCATGGTTCCCGCTACTGTGTCCAACAACGTGCCGGGTTCCGATTTCAGCATCGGGGCAGACACAGCCCTGAACACTATCACCGACGTAAGTCCGTGTGCGCCCCGCCAGGTGGCGCTGGCTGACTCTAACCTGTGGGCCCCCGCCCTTTTTATCTACCGAGCGCTAGAAACAGCCTTTTACAAATATCCTGAATGAGAGCTTCTCGTTATTTCGCCGCCCTCCCCCCCCCCACGAAAAGTAGGATTTTAGACTCTGAACATTTTTGATCTCACTCCCAAAAAGTTTTATCGCCTCTTCTTCTGTGTGGCCACCGGCGGGGACGTAGCGTGGCCAAGACCCCGGGAGTGCCCGTGAGTACCTACAGCGCTGAGGAGGGCTGGGCTGCAGTCTCCTGTGATTGCACCAGCATTAAAATCTGCTTTTTAAAAATTATTATTAATGCTGAGCCTAAATTTTCTTTGAGCCTCCAATACCCATTATGATGAACCCTGCCTTGATGCTGAGGGTAGAAATGGAACTGAATATTTTGTAATTGTAGTCATTGTCCTGAACGCACCATTGCATTTGTTTTCTCTTTGGTCTTGGCTGTTGACCTCATTTTCCCCTTTGTAAAGTGGGGATGTTAAATTACATCTAAGGCAATATTGGGGCTAATTTTTTTGCCAAAAGACAATAATAAAACATAGAAATATATTCTTCTGTTTTTTGTTTTGTTTTGCTTTGTTTTCTTTGTTTTACTTTTCTTTGTGAGACAAGGTCTTACTCTGTCACCCAGGCTTGAGTGCAGTGGTGTGATCTCGGCTCACTGCAGCCTCGACCTCCTGGGCTCAGGTGATCCTCCCACCTCAGCCTCTCGAGTACCTGGGACCGCAGGCACGTGCCGCCATTTCCGGCTACAAGAAATACACGCCTACCCCACGTTTGTGTGTCACACTTGGTGATTCACGTGGGAGTCTGAAGATCCGTACCTAATGCAGGAAGTATTTCATTTTTTAAAAATTTGATGTCTAAAATTTTTCACTAATTCTCAAGTTTTAATTTTTCTTGTGCGACTTAGTTCTCACGAATATTTTTCAAAGTTTTCTATTTTGTTTTTGTTTTTTGTAAACCCTTGGCATGAAACTTATTTCTAGCGCTGGTAAATAAAAAAAACAAGCTTTTAACATACAGCTCATATGGTAAGTAATGCTTAGCAGTCGTTTCTTGCTTTTCTGAGCGTCTTAAACTTTCTTCACTTCCTTTGTGAAGGAAACCTGTCCAGGTTTTCCCGTGTTCACTGGCTTTGGGGGCAACGTTCACCTTATTTTTGGCAGTCACTAATCTCTGACCTAGATGTTGCTTCTGCTCTGCTCTGCTGGTGATGGGCGTCACGGCTTTGCTGCTGCAGGGCTGGCCTGGCTCTGGGCTTACCTTCGTGCTGGGAATGTGAACATGAGTGTGTTTCACAGAGAGGATTCCAGCATGGCTTTCACTGCTCTTTCACCTGCTTTAGCTGGATTTTTGGGTCTGTGAAAGTTGGGTGTGCAATGGGAGGGATTGAAGCTTCTTTTTTCCCTAATTGTTACCTAATTGGAACTTACCCAGAGGGAATGGGTGGAGAATTTGAGAGCAGTCACTGCAGTTAGATGAGCATCTGAAGATGTGGGACAAAGCTGGTGTTGATCACCCTGTGACTTTTTTATTTTCAAGTTTCCACACAAAGCATAGATCCTTGTGGTGTGTGATGTACACTTTCAGGCAGGAAGAAAATCTCTCTTTAATTCCAGGGTCCTCCGCTATAAATAACTTTTTTTTTCAGATTGTAAATATGTAACAAACGTGTAGGGTCAAAATTTGAAAACCAAAATACGTGAGGCAAACACCCCGCAAATGATCAGTTCCACCCGCTTTGACTTCCCTTGGAGGGACTGTGTGATTTATAATGCGATTGTTTTAAATTCAGTTTTTCATTCATTCCAGTTTCTCAAAGCTAGGTTAAACAATTTCATTTTCTTTTTTTTTTTCTTTTTTTTTTTTTTTTTTGACAGGGCCTCTGTTTCCCGGGCTGGAGTGCAGTGGTGCAATCACGATTGACTGCAGCCTCAACCTCCCAGGCTTAGGCGATCCTCCCACCTCAGCTTCCTGAGTAGCTGGGACTACACGTTCTTGCCACCGTGCGTGGCTAATTTTTTGTATTTCTACAGAGACGAGGTCTCCCTGTGTTGCCCAGGCTGGTCTCAAACTTCTGGGCTCAAGCAGTCTCCCGGTCTTGGCCTCTCAAAGCCACAGGGGTTATAGGGATGAGCCACCGTGCCGTGCTGGGCCTTAAGTTAACGGATTACAATAGAGAAAGAACTGGAGTGTGTAGTTAGTTGAGCCTCCCGTTGGCCAGGCACAGCCACCTTGGTAAGTGTTTGTGTGTGTCCTCATTGCCCTTCTGATCCCGAGCTCCGAGGAATGAGGCTGTCTTGGGAGTGCTGTGGTTCTAGCCTCGTGATGGGTAAGTGACGCCGGCTGATTGAGGTCACCCTGGCGAATGCTGCAGCTGCTCGGGAGCCGGGGCAGGGACGAGAAAGCCGCTGAGGATCCCTCTGTGGACCCCTGAAGGGAAGAGGGGTCGAGATGTGAACATGGCAGCTGTTTTCTCCAGAGCCCTGTTTACTGATGGCCAAACAGGGTGAATCCTGAGAAGGTTTGGATTTGGGTCTGAACTGGGCTCGCCTGGCTGTAGAACACAGGAGCTGGTGGCGAACTCAGGAAATGAGGGCGTGAGGCGACTTGACGTGGATGGCTCCGGGTCCCTCCAGCCACGGTCCTGAAGCCGTCGGAGCCTGAGGATGTGTGGGAGTGAGCGTCTCTTTCCTGTCTGGCCAACACCCTCTGTGACCCGTGACTCATGGCCCGGCCCTGGGCAGCATTTATGTTTGAGGTCTGCGGATGGCTCCAGTTGTTCAGTAAATTTGGTGATTCTCATTGGGGTGATTGTGCCCCAGGGAATGTTTGCGCCATCCAGGGAGGTTTCTGGTTAGAACTGGGAGAAGGGATGCTCCCAGCACCTGGGACTGGGGACAAGGGACGCTGCAAAAAGTCCCTCCAAGCACAGGGCGGGCTCCATAGCAGGAGTCTGGCTCAGGACGTGGCCATGTTGTGCTTCAGAAGCCCTGGGCGGATCTGATGTGGTGAAGTCGTCATCGTCACTCGTGATTTCCTTCTTGCCAGCATTGATGCTTAGCTGACGCCACAGCCCCTCAGAATCTATGCGGCGCTGGTGAGTGGGTCTTTCTGGCAAAACAGAATGAATGAAATACCTCAGAGCAGGTGTTACACATTCTCAGGATATGGCTGCAGGGAGTTTCGGTTGGACTCCTTTCACTCCTTAGTGCTGGCTGGTGCATTACTGTGTCCTGTAAGCTTGATCAGGTCACATCAGAAACAGTAGGTGCGTGCCACGCTGCTGTCAGGTTTCGCGAAGGTGGCGGTGACTACAGCCTTGTGAGTAATTCCTTGTCATAGTGGCCCCACTAAGGACCCAGGGGCCCGGCTGTGTTTGGTCTTGAGAGCTTTATGCTTTTCTGGGCAGGGTCTCTCCCCATCTTGAAGTCTTCCCTCCCCTTTTTTGGAGACTAAAGGAAGGAAAAGAGGAGCGACAGGGAAGAGGGGAGAGAGGATTTGCAGCAATGTGGCCATTCCCACAGATTTCAAGGCAGAGTTAAGGAGCCGAGACACCCCCACCTGCCCTCTTGTGTGCCTCAGGGCCCTCCTGGCCCCAGGTCACCCACACCCTCTGGCTTCCAGCGAGAGCTTCTTGGAGAAGCAGCCAGCTCCCCGCGGCCAGTCTTGGTTAGTCCTGGGCTAGAGTATTCCACAGTAAAGGAGTGACATCACCTGTCTGAAGAGCATAAGGAGCCCCCCACGTGGTGGTGCTGACAGGGCCACATCCTGGGCACCAGGCCAGCCAATATCCCCAGATGAGTGTTTCTGGCTTGGAAGCAGGCTGGCATTTGGATTGAAGTCCTGCAAAAACTGCCATGGCCAGAGCCTGCAAGGCAGAGCCTGTACAGAGCAGCCCAAGAGCCGGGCATGTGCTGGGTCTGGGTGGACGTGGAGTACATGCCATGGGGCACGGGGGCCCCTGCTCACAGCTCACCTCGTGGTCACCCAGCACTGACCCACCCATCTTACCCTGCTACCCACCATGCTGTGAACTCACCTGCCACGGATCTGCACCCACTGTCCGAAGCCCTCGGCCCACACGGGCTCCTGGCCTTGGGATGCTTTGGGTTGCACCAGGGCTGCAGAGCCTGGCTCTCTCACTGTCCAACTCTCCTGGGGAGATGTGGGCCCCGCCTTGCATCCCAACAGTAGCATTTCTGCAGCAGACGTGGGGATATTCACAGTAAGAGGGACACGTCCAAGTCCATAAATAGTTGATTTTGCCACCAAGTGGATGACAAAAACACCTTGCTGTGTGGGGCCGCTTGGAGCTGGGAACAGTGGGCGTGTGGACCTGTCCTGCTGTTACCTTGGTTAACACCCTGAGGTGGAGCCTGAAAAAGCCCGGTGTACACGGGCTCAAGAACCGCTCCCCTTTCTGACACCAGAGCCCATTTCCCAGTGGAACCTCAGAGCAGCAACTCAGGTTCTTGCTCGCCTGTGTGGCTTTGCGTGTGACTTCCAGCCGGAGAGCAGAGATGTGGCATGGGGCTGAGTGTGGCCCACCGGTAATCCAGCTGCCGGCTTCCTTCCCTGCCTGCGCGTGGAGGCTGCCTCTGCACGATGAAGGCAGTCACTTAGTGTGGTCCTTACAGCTGTGTGCCCCATCCCACTGATCGTGGACTGCCTACAGAAAGCTACAGGGACTGGCTTTGCCTTCAAATGTCCTGACTGCCCTGGCCTCGCTTACCCACGATGAGATGCCGAGAGCTGAGCTGTCCCGCTCGTGACTAACTTGCCGCTGCCTGCAAGCTGCTCTGTTGCCGGCCTCACACCCACCCTGCTGTGCTGCCTGCACGCCTCCCCTTTCAAGAGGACCTGGGCTGTGCCCAGGCAGTCCCCTGTGTTGCTAAGGCCTGTCCTGCTCCCACATGGCCTCCAGAGCTCCCCTTGGTCCCCTGACCCACATGAACCGGCTTCCCCTGATGACTCAGGTCCCTGCTGTCCCTTCCTGGACCTCAGTGGAGGCCCTGGGGCTGGCATGTGAGCACCCAGCACCCCCGCTAACTGCTTGGCCCTGCTGCTTCAGGCTTACAAGAGCACGTGCGACATGGCTGAGGCGCAAGGCCACCACCGGGAGCTTTGCATCCCCCTGTGTGTGGTGCCGGCCACGATTAACAACAATGTCCCAGGCACAGAAATAAGCCTGGGCACCGACACTGGCCTGACTGCTGTTGTCCAGGTAAGAGAACCCCGTTTCCTCCCATTGCTTTCTTTATTTTATTTTAGCAATTTGTTTCTTCTGTGCTAAGAATGAGCCAGATTTATTATTACTCTTCCCCCCCCGCCTTTGTTAGCTTGGCTTTATGTCAGTCACACTGGCCAGAACAGGGTAAATTTTTTAGCTTCTCTGCCTTAGGGAGAACCTGTCTTTATTGATTAAAAGCGAGATGATATATCCAGTCCTTGGGGTCGTGTTTCTATCCCACCTAGACTAGGGGAGTTTTGAGCACCATTTCTCTGGAGCCGGCCTCTCCCGCCTGCGTTGAGTAGCGAGGCTGCAGGGCCAGCTGTGGGAACCTGCAGGAAGGGGTTTGAGTGCCTGGTACGTACGAGCTCTGGGACAGAGCTGTGCCCACTGGGGGCCGCTGCCTGGAACCACAGCCTTCCTGGTGAGATGAGAGGATCTTTAAAGAGCCGAGATCATGCCCTCCTGGGCAGGCAGTTTCACCAACATGTGCTTTGGGAGGAGTGGATTCTGCCGGTCATGGGCGTGGTGCTGACACCCGCATGGTGGCCCCTCCAGTCCCTGATAAGCTGACCCACCTCTATGGTCATGAGCTGGACATGAGGACCTGTGGGAGTTCCACAGGCCTTTGCTGCAGAGAGGGTCCTCACTCGGCTGCAGACAGGACAGTGGCCACCTTGGCATGTGGGGTCATGTCAGTGGATTGGCCGCCGGGTGTCTCCTGGAGAGCAGCCGCTGGCCTTTAGCTTCGATGTTCACGTCTGAACCAGCTCCGGAGTTTGCGGTGAAAACTCCCAGCCCTGTTGGAGACTCCTTAGTTCAGCTTGGCACAGAACCTCGGAAAACAGCAGTTCTGTTCCGGGTTCTTCCTTCAGAACTGAGTTCCAGTGCAGGGAAGGGAGCCGGAGGGGTCGTGAGGTCGGCTGCAGCCTCCTGTGCCTCCCACTCGAGTTGAGGGCCATCTCTCTCCTGGGCTTCTCCCTGTCGCCTTCCCTGGTGCTGTGCTGGCCTCGCAGAGGCTGGCCCTGGCTCGTTCCCTGGACTTTCTTGGGCCCCTGCGCTTGACCCCTGTTCACTGAATGCCATTAGGGTCCAGCTATCGCTGGCTTCGCTCTCCTTTAGCACCTTGTAGATGTCCACACATGCTTCCACCCTCACACCCGGCACACAGCGCAGCACTACCCCGGCCAGCGGCTGTGCTTTGCTGCAGGTCTCTTGCTGTAGCAGGGATGGGAGCCCCAACCCCTGCCCCGTTTGGCCACTGACTTCAGCAGAGGCTCGGCTGCCGTGAAGGATACCAGTCATGGGAAAACTGGCCTCCCTGCAGATTCACAGAGCAAGGTGGTTCTCACAGAGAAGTCAGTGGCTTTTTTCTACCTTAACACTGTAGCAAACGCCACCTTATCTTTCACCACCAATTGATATTTCTTAACACCCATGGAGCAAAGTGCTGGTGATGTTTGAACTGTAGCCTGGGGCTCTCGCTCCCATGGGACTCCTTGGGGAATTTCCTAGCAGGATCGTGTGTGCGCCCTTGCAGGGGGTTGTGTCTGCTGGGCACATCCCATTGTGTGGCAAGAATGGCTGAGGTCACAGGCTCTGCCTGACGAGTGCCACTCACAACTGCTGTCCACGCAGGGCCACGCTTGGGATTGGCCACCTTCTTGTCAGTGCTACTTTGACTAATTGCCTGAGGCACGGCCGGAGTGACTTGCTATTTTTAGAAGCTAATTCAGGCTTCAGATGCCATCTAGGTAATGAGGAAAGAGTTCAGGAAAGCTGTATCTAAGCTCCAGCAATGGCAGACTCTTCCGTCCCAGCTGTCACTGCATTTACACTCAGAGGAGCACACGGTTGGGGGCATGGCTCAGCTGTCAGGGCTCCACTGTTCCACACACCCACAGCTGCAGCCTGGCGGGACCAGAACTCAGACACGTTTGGGCACAAATCAGCCTCTTGGGAGAGCTGCTTTGCCTGCAGAATTCTTTTGCCATTAAGCAGCTGTCATTCTTTGAATGAGTGACAGTAATTCCCCACCTCAGGGTGGGCTGTGGGGGAGATTCAGTTGGAAAAATAACCCATGAGGCTTTGTGCCTCTGGGGGTCCTGATGCCCCACCCACATTTTCCTTCCCATGCCCGGGATGCTCTAAGACAAAGGGCAAATCTGAAAGCCTTACTGCATCTTAAGTCTTAGATCACAATGAGAGAGAGACCCAGTACAGGTGGAAGAGTGAAACCCTCAGAATTCTGCACTGGCCCTTCAAGAAGGCAGTTACAGGTTCTTTGGACCCTTGACGGGTTTCTGTCCTCTGTCTTTCCTAAGCACAAAGACGGGAATTCTTCCCATTGCCTGTTTCTCTCCCCATCTCGGCTTCTACACAATGCACAGTGGCCCTCTAACTAGAGCCCGTGTTCAGTTTTGAATACATCAACCAATTATTTTGGGAGGAAAAGAATCTTCCAGAGAAACGAAGTATAGGTTGGAATGGTTTAATCAAGCCTGTGTTTATTCAACAAAGTGTGCTTTGAAATTTCATTCGAAATACTCAAGTGAAAATTTCCCGTGGGTGTTAAACTTTAGTGAACAGACTCTCATGTGGCTCCTAGTCTCAAGCCCACACCCCCACTTCATCCTTTTACTCTTGGCTGAGTCCCACGGAGGCCGGTTAGGGAATCCTGCAGGATCAGCCCTTGACCCAGATGGACGGACGGACGGCTGGATAGACGGACAGCTGGCTGGCTGGCTGGGGAATACTGTGCTTGTGTCATTCAGAGACAAGCATTTCTTGAGCGCCTTCTGTGGGGGGCTCGGCCGGGTCCTGCTGATGGTGCAGTGGTGTAAGCCCAGCCCACAGTTCCTGCCCTCATGGAATGTGCAGCCTAGTGAGGACTGCAAGTCACATAACCACGAGGTAACTGCAGGGAGAGACGCCGGGGTGATTTCTATGAAGAGAGGACATGGGGTGCCCCGAGAGCCCCTGACAGAGGGAACTTTGTGGTCCTAGAAACCAGGTGACGTTTTCCTAAGGAAATGGCATTTCCCTCTGGGTCAGAGCTGAGGAAGGTGCCTGTGTGTGTCCCGTGGCCGCTGTGACCCTGACCACACACCTGGGGCTGGAAAATAATCGTCACTCTCCCACAGTTCTGGAGGGCGGGAGCCATGGGCTGAGGCCAGAGTGTGTGCTCCAGGAGAGTCCCTCCTGGCCCATTCAGGTGCCCAGAGCCCCGGGCCTTGCACGCCTTGCTCCCTGGCACCGCCTCCTCCCATGTGGGTGTGCAGCATCCTACTCCAGGGCCTCTGCACCCCTCATCTGCCGATGCAGGTGGTGGCACTTAGGGCCCACCTGGGTAGTTCTCAGGATTCACCTTTATCACCGCATGAGGGAACATTCCCAGGTTCCAGGCATTAGGACCGGGATTCCTTTGGGGGCTGCTCTCCCGCCCACCACTGTGCCTGAATGTGATGCACATAGCGGCCAGCATATGCAGAGGCCCCAGGAGGACCTGGGGTGGCTGGAGCTAGAGCCGGACCTGGTGTCAGAAGTGGGCGGGGCCAGGGATTCCAGAGAAAGGCTTAACGTGTACTTGAAGTGAGCAAAGGGTTTTGAATGAACCAAGAACTGGATCAGATTTATGCTTTTTATATAGATGGGTCTCCAGTCTGTGTGAACAGATCGGAGGGGGCCAGGGTGGGAGCTGAGGCCCAGGCAGAGGCTTTGCAGAGTGCCAGGAGAGGGCGCTGTAGCCCGGACTGAAGTGTGGGTGGGAAGGCGGCAGATGCATTTCTCTGCTGTTTTTCTCCCTGCTGAGCTTGGGTCCTCGTGGAGGGCGGATGGCAGACATTTCACTCTGGGACCTCATGCCTATGCATCCGAAAGACCCCCAGGCGCCTGGGTGTAAGAACCATCATCTGCCTTGGAGTAGAGTTTCTATAAATGTAACATTCACCGATGGATGGAAGACGGCCACAACTCTAAAATCACAGGGAGCTTTTCAGAAGAAAATAGAATAGCACAGCTGTTCCCATGGACAAAGCTGGCAGGTGACAGCCCCCTAACTTCTCAGCTCACACCTAACGGTGTCCGTGTCTGGTGAAAGCTGCTTCAGCAGGGACAAAGAGCAGCATGGAGTGAGCTGGCTTGTGGGGTCGTCTTTTCAGTCTCCTCCTATGGGGCCTGGGAGAAGGGAGCGGCAGATGGCCAGGTCCCCACCACAGGTCATCGAGGTCACCTCCAGGTGGCTGGCGGGGGGGGGGCATGTTCACATCCACTCCGAGGCACATCCCGGCTGCTGCACACCCTTCACCCCTGTGCGATGCTGGGACCGCATGCTCAGGTGCGGTGTGGGGCCTTGCTGCACTCACTGGTAGGGGAGCTCTGGGATGGTGGGTGCACCCTGGCCCTGGGCTGGAGTGACTGATCTCTTCTCTGACCAGACCTGCGACCGCATCAAGCAGTCCGCCAGCGGAACCAAGCGGCGCGTGTTCATCAAGACCATGGGCGGCTACTGTGGCTACCTGGCCAACATGGGTGGGGGGATCGTGGCCGGAGCCGACGCCGCATACATTTTCGAAGAGCCCTTCGACATTGAGGATCTGCAGGTATGTGACGGGGCTGGCCTCAGGGGACCGTCCCCTTGGGATCCTCTCGGTGCTGCGGAGCAAATCATCGTGTCTAGGGTGGTTTGCTTTTCGAGGGGGCATGCAGACGGAGGTGTTACCGAACACGCCACGCTTGATGCCCTTTGCATCGACCAGGTGCCTCTCCCGAGTGTCAGGTGATGGCGGACGTGCCTGGTTGAGGACACCTTCTAGTCTCTTGTGTGAAACACAAGCTTGTTTTTTTGATGTAGTCTGTTGTGTAATGTTTTCTCCCTTCTGTCACAAACGATTTGAGTGCCTCCACTGACAGTCACCACCCACGTCTGCGACTGGCTCTGGAGCTGGCTGCAGCTTCTTTTAGGTCTTGAGGCCTTTGGTGCTGCATCTGCCTCTAAACTGACACAGACACGGCCGTGGTTTCTTGGCATCTGTGGCTCTTTTAGGGAAGGGTGTCGCCGACCCCGGGGTCTGCCCTTGCTTTGACGGCACAGCAGAATCCAGGCCTGGACCCTGCAGTGTTCAAAGTTGCTAAACTCCATGCAGGAGGACAGGCCTTGGCAGATAAAATGCAACTGAACAATTTTCTTTAGTTAGTTATATAAATATATGTTATATATTGCTCTGTCACCTAGGCTGGAGTGCAGTGGCGCGATCTTGGCTCACTGCAACCTCCGACTCCCAGGTTCAAGCCATTCTCCTGCCTCAGCCTCCCGAGTAGTTGGGATTACAGGCGCATGCCACCATGCCCACCTAATTTTTGTATTTTTAATAGAGATGGGGTTTCACCATGTTGGTCAGGCTGGTCTTGAACTCCTGACCTCATGATCTGCCCACCTTGGCCTTCCAAAGTGCTGGGATTATAGGCGTGAGCCATCGTGCCCGGCACCGTTGTCTTTTAAAAAGTTAGGATGTTACTTGTTTCTGAGCCAAATAGATCAAGTAAAAAGGGCCTTGGTGTTGTCACTAATTATGTGACATGTGAATCATGAATTTCTTCACTGTGTCAAAGTGACTACTTGTGGAGTCGTTCACTGCATTGTGATGTTTCTGTCAGCAGTGGGTCCCATAAGATGATAATGGAGCTGCCCCAAACAGGTGTACTGTTTTTTTTTATCTTTTATAAAATTTATATATATATATATATATATATATATATATATATATATATATATATATGTGTGTATATATATATATATATATATTTTTTTTTTTTTTTTTGAGACGAAGTCTTGCTCTGTAGCCCAGGCTGGAGTGCAGTGGCCGGATCTCAGCTCACTGCAAGCTCTGCCTCCCGGGTTCACGCCATTCTTCTGCCTCAGCCTCCCGAGTAGCTGGGACTATAGGCGCCCGCCATCTCGCCCGGCTAGTTTTTTGTATTTTTTAGTAGAGATGGGGTTTTGCTCTTTTCCGCTGAGAGCGCCGAGTAGAACATTGTCATGAAAATAAATAAGGAGCAATAGAGCCGTGAATGAGCGCTAGGCCAATCACGGAATTATCGTCTTCAGAGGGACCCTGTTGATTCTGGAAGGCGTTTCTAGTGGCCGCCATGAGGGCTGCTCACCGTGCCCTGCGCTCAGCATTCATCGCTGCAGACGTGCTCTCCCCGCCTGGGGGAGGCTCCCCGAGACCTGAGCCGTGAGAGCTTGCAACCTCCTTGGCCACACTCACCGCCACACTTGGTTGGCACTTCCCGCCCTGCAGGGCCTGGCACACAGTGGGTGCTTAGCATAAGTTTATTGTCTGATTAACAAAATACTCTTTTCCAGTCCAATGTGGAGCACCTGACGGAGAAAATAAAGACCACCATCCATAGGGGCCTTGTGCTCAGGTGAGTGAGAGACCAGGGCTGATCTTACGGTCACTGTCACACCGCGGTTCTTAGGTTCTGGGGACTTTGGGATGGATGAGTGGTCATTTCTTTGCCGCTGGAGTGCACTACACACTGGGCATATGCAGAAGAGAGTTGTGGTGCATTGCTCTAAAGACTTTCTTGCATTTAGACAACTAAAACTTTTGCTTTATAGTCTTACTCTATTAGATATCTCGCAATCATTTCTCTAACACCTGATGTTTATGAAGGAAGAAGGAAATACAGTTATCCCTCTTAGCCTCAGGGAATGTGTCCCAAGACTCCAGTGGGTACCTGGACCTGGGGATAGTACCCGCCCCCTGTATACATGAGGGGGTGGGTGCTGATAACCATCTGATAACCAAGGCGGCTACTGAGTGACTCAGGGGCAGGAGGCACAGACAGCATGGAGACTTTAGGGCACAGGGATGATTCACGTTCTGGGTGGGACAGCAAGACAGCACAAGATTTCATGACTCCCTGTTAGCCTGGCTTACGTGAAATCGACATCCTGGGTCGGTTTGTTGTGTCGCATATGTTGTCACTATACAACAAAATAATCTGGAGTATACGCATACTCCCAGTTAGCTGGGAGACTTTTTTTTTGAGACAGTCTTGCTCTGTTGCCCAGGCTGGAGTGCAGTGGTGCAATCCTGGCTCACTGCAACCTCCACCTTCCAGGTTCAAGAGATTCTCCTGCCTCAGCCTTCCGAGTAGATGGGTGTACAGGCGCCCACTACAACACCCAACCAATTTTTGTATGTTCAGTAGAGATGGAGTTTCACCACGTTGGCCAGGCTGGTCTCAAACTCCTGACCTCAGGTGATTCGCCCACCTTAGCCTCCCAGCATGCCAGGATTACAGGCGTGATCCCCACCGTGCCCAGCCAAAACATCTAAACTTTTAAGTCATGCCAAACAGCAGCAGCTTTAGGCTTCTTTTGTTGGTGAGGTTTGAGTAATGGGGATTTTAAGGGAACTGTCAGCTTTCATGAAAACAGTGACATCCCCATCACTTGGAAATGCTTATTCAAACTAAACACGGCATCAGGTTAAAAACTGGAGCGTCCTAAGATTTAAAAAGGATTATCAGACATGTAAGATACTTGACACTCACCCTCAAATCAGAATGACCTGGAATAAGCTGCATGCGGGCACACGCATGTTATGAGTTGAGTCTGGGACACAGTGGTCCAGGATTCCTAACTCCCACACACTCCTCCTTCACCACCTCCTATTCTTTATACTTTTAAACCAGAGCCCGTGAACTTATTTCAGAGAGCTCATGAATCCCCTGAAATGATGAAATAGTAGGCGTCTGTGTGACTTTGTCAAAGAATCCACAACGGTTATCAGATTCTTAAAGCTGTGACCCATCCCCACCCCAGATGAGTTTACGAAATCTTGATTTAAGATTTTAAAATATTGGAGATGGTTAGTTGACTCGTTCCATTTATTAAAACCCTTCTCTTACTGGGCAGGGGGGAACACTTGATACTTTTGCTTAACAGGCTGAGTTCAGGCTACAGGAATCACAGATTTTGTTTTGTTCTGTTCCAGCTATCCCTAAAGACTTAGAAACAAAAACATGAATTCTGTGAAATAGAAATCATCATTTCTATTTCACAGCAAAGTGTTACTGTATAACTGATATTTCATATGACTCTAACCACCAACAGGGTGGGGCACCTTCTCCATTTGATAGAAACTTTGGAACCAAAATCTCTGCCAGAGCTATGGAGTGGATCACTGCAAAACTCAAGGAGGCCCAGGGCAGAGGTAAGGGGTCCGGGGAGGGAGGCCATCTGCCTTGGTGAAAATGCTGTCCTATCGGGGAGAAGTAGGCTGCTGGTTCCTTCTTCAGTTCAGTACCGAGCTGCGTGTGATGTTCTAACTCCTGCTGGTCTCTGAGCATTGCTATTTAACCAATCTTGGATTCCTGGGTGTACATGACATGTTCTCTTTTATCACTGCTAGATTCAACCTGAAGTTCTTTTGTGCAGGCTTTTTGCTCTGGAAATCCTGAGCATCAGCCCACAGTTTCCCTCACAGTTGAAGTGGGGCCTTCTATTTTTTGGATGTTTGGTAGGACAACCTCCTTGTGACCCCATCCATCAGAACTTCCAGTTTTGAGGAAGATTTGGCTGCTGAATGAATTATTCGTGTTTGTAGAACTATGCATGTTTTTCCTTAAATCAGTTTTGTAACTTACATATTCTAACAATCTTTAGATAAGCTGAAAAGTTTTAGAAAACATGACACATTACTCTTGTTAATGGTTCCAACGTGGCTGGTCCCTACTCATTCCTGAGTGGTTATTTGTGCCAGCATCTTTCTCACCCCCACCCCCCTCAGCTTTCTTCAGTCATACCAGACGTGTGCTTTTATTAGGGCAAACCATTATCACTGCCAATGTCCGAGTTAGAAGAATGACAGTCTACAAAAAACAGTGATGTGAATAGTTTCAATCGGTTTGTCTTTTTGAAGAACTGACTGATTCTTTCTACATCCATTTTCTCTTGCTAATTTAGCTACGGATGCTTCTCGTGCCTCAGTGTGTGTATATGTGAGCATCAATTTCTTATTAGTGTTTTGCCATAATTTAAGGTAATTTCCTTATTCCACTATTTAGTGAAAAATTCTCTCCACTGAGAGAAAAACAAAAGCTGCTTTCCAGGAAGCCATCAGGGTGATCCCACAAGAGCAGAGCTGTGCAAGCCCAGGCCGGGCGCTGGCCACACTGCACAGCTGTTCTCAGCCTCCCCCAGGCTTCCAGGCCAGGTTCAGCACAGTGCCCAGGAATCTCACCCCGTGATTCTGCTCCCCCAGCTGCCCATGGGACAGGGCAGTGTTAATCTGTTTTTAAACCTTTTATAGGAAAAACATTGACCACCGATGATCCCGTTTGTGTGCTGGGAATCAGCAAAAGAAATGTTATTTTTCAACCTGTGGCAGAGCTGAAGAACCAAATGGATTTTGAGTAAGTCGGGGTCTTATTGCCTTAGCAAACCCAGCCAATGTGAGTACAGGACAGGGGAATGGCCATTGCTGTTGCGTTCGGCAACTCATTCAGGGGTTTGAGGAACTAGCTTTTCTGAAGCTCAGTTAAAAAATACTAGGTCTTGGCCAGGCACGGTGGCTCATGCCTAAGATCCCAGCACTTTGGGAGGCCTAGGTGGGTGGATCACTAGGTCAAGAGATTGAGACCAGCCTGGCCCACATGGTGAAACCCCGTCTCTACTAAAAATACAAAAAGTAGCCTGGCGTGGTGGCGCACACCTGGAGTCCCAGCTACTCAGGAAGCTGAGGCAGGAGAAACCGCTTGAACCTGGGAGGCAGAGGTTGCAGTGAGCTGAGATTGCACCACTGCTCTACAGCCTGGTGACAGAGCAACAAACTACCACTAGGTCTTTGGGAAGAATTTTTAGAAATATAAAAACAATGGTTTTGTTTGATCTTGAAATTGGCTTTATCATCTAGTTGATTCAGCCGACCCTACAACCCCCGTGTTTCTGGCAAGACCACTTGCTGTGCTGGCCGTGGCATCTCCCAGCCTCACTGCTGTCCCGCCTTCCCTCCACAGGCACAGGATTCCCAAAGAACGGTGGTGGCTCAAGCTGCGGCCCCTCATGAAGATCCTGGCCAAGTACAAGGCCAGCTACAACGTGTGAGACTCAGGCCAGCTACAGCACGTGCAGCCCTGGAGCCTCTAATCCAGTCCCACCTGCACGTGCCTGCAACCTGGACTCACCGTGGACCATCTGTTTTTGTAATACTTAAGTTATTGATCAGCACTTTATGCAGGTATTGACATTAAAACCTAATCAGTGAGCACCTGTCACCGCCCATGTGCCCCACCAGCTCCAGTGTGTGCTGTCTGTGGACTGTCTCATGCTTTCAGATGTGCGTATTAAACATTTGCCTACAACTCCAAGTAGGGTGGCTACTAAGGGTTTTCTCAGCAGTTTTGTGGGCAAAGATTATCAAAATATTTTTATAGGGATCACTGAACTATGTGCAAGTCATAAAAGGAGAACAAAGCTAGTAGTTTACACAGGCCAAGGGGAATGCCATGTTTACTTACTGTTACATATTTGTCACGTGTCAGTTTCCATCCAGAGCAGCAGGCCAGGACCCTGGGCCTGGACCCCAGGCTCCTGCTCTCCTTAGAAAGTAAAAGAGAACACATGAATCTTATCTACTCAGCCTCTTGATTGCAATCCTAGCTGCATGTTAAAACCACCACGGTGGGGGTTTGAAAAATCTGATGGCCAGCTTCTCGTCCAGTCCAAGCCACGGTCCTCACTGGGCCCTAATTTGGAACTCTCCAATGACTCTTGCCAGAGTAGACATGGGTGCTGGGGTGACAGCCCTGCCACCCTCGTGGGCCCCCCTCCTGTAGGGACAGTGTTTCTGCCTCAGTTCTAGACTGCAAGAGACCACAGCTGTACCTCAGAAACGTGGGCGGAGAGCTGTATGGAGGGAGAGGAGACACCAAAAACCAGCTGTTTGGGAAATCGGAGTCCAACGGCCAAGAGCTGGCGTGGAGGCTTTCCTTTCTGGCTCTGTAAAGACGAAGCGAGCACTTACTCACCCCAGCCCCTCTGCTTCTCAGGGACTGCTTCCATTCAGCCGCCCTGTTGAACTTCCGTCTGTTAGGAGGATGCTCCCACAGGGCCTCGGTGTGATCAGTTTCATGAATCAGCACAGGCGGAGGTGGGACACCTTTGTGTGCCTTTTCATTCTACTTCTGCTTTGTAATAAAGGCCCTAAATGCTACTTAAAATAATGACTCAAGCAGAGGTTAAGTCAGAGTTGCCCTTTTAGATTCTTAAATATTCTAGAACTAATGAGGTAAAACTAGCCTTTGTCAGTAGAAAGTAAATTCTATGTGGTGCATCTTTGGCACTTTGTGCATAACTATTTCAATGAATGTCTTCCTTGTTGCTCTTAAGACTGACTTGCCAGTCAGTGGCAAAACCTTAAGAATGACATAATGTTCTTGGAAAAAGCAGTAGCATTTCTGACTTTTCATATTCAGCTCTAGAGGCCGATTTTCTCAGGGGCTCCTGCACAGTCGGGCGTGCCAGGGCCACTCATCTGATGATCCAGGATGGGTCCTTGGCGATTTTGGGGTTCTCGGGTCCGAGTATGGCCAGGCCGTGCATGCTCTTCCCAGTGCCGAGAACCCGAGGGGAAGGCAGGCGAGGTCAGCGAGGACTGGCTTCTGCGTCAGTGCCGTTAAGGCCTCCATTCCCAGACACCGTCTCCCCCGCTCCTCACTCACCTATAGCTGACAGTGAAGAGCTGCTCCCTGTGGGCCTGCTTCATCTCATCTGAGAGGCCGTACAAGAAGAGGTCCATTCCTAGAAGACAAACTACAGGCACAGTGGGCTGTGCATTTGTGTCCCGGAGTGAGGCACCCCCTGCGAGGTGGGGAGTAATAGCCACCCCCCTCCCCCCGCCTTGGCTATTAGGAGCCATGGTGGACTCACAGCCTGTTTAGGATATTGTGAGTAGTATCATCTGCCCCTCTGGAAATAATGAACTGAATGGGAAACATCCAGGCCCCGAGACCCACTCAGGAGCAGAAAACGGGGAAGGAGCCTTGAACAGACCCTCGGGAGGGCAGTCAGCAGGAGCCATGGAGGCCACCAGGAGGGAGGAAGGAAGGCAGGCAGGGAGGCCAGAGGTGACGTGGTGGGGAGAGGAGACGTGGCCAGAGGCAACGTGGCCAGGGAAGGAGATACGGCTGGAAGGAAGTGACAAGAGGGGTCTCCAGACCTCAGACTGTGCCTGATGTATGGATGACATTTTAACTAAGATGTTATATCTAAAGTAGCAATTTAGAACCATTGTGTACATTTAAAGCACGGTACAAATATAGCACATTTCCCAAACCAAAGAACAGTGCGTTGAAGGAAGAAATAGCAGCTCACCAATAAAATAAAAGTGAGTCAAGAAAAAATTCATTTAAGATCAGAAATAGATCCTACAGCTCTTCTAGTCCAATCCCCACCCTAACATGAATGGGGGGAAAAGGGAAGTAGATTCTAGTCAGTCAGAATTAAAGGCAAAACTGATCCACTTTACTTTCTACTTGACAGAAAACAAGCAGCTCATCAAGGAAATCCCTACGAACAGTAGCTTTAGGAGTCCCCAAAATGCAAAATTCACCTTCAAATTAAATCAACTGCTAAGTGTGTATAAAGTTATTGTTTTCATTATTGCCTGCCTCATTCCCAGGGGCTTTTTTAGAGCTTGTTTCCCCCTAATTGCCTCCAACACACCCAGGAAATTTAAACCTCACAAGTAAACCGTGTCTCGATTAACACACAGCGTCCTTTAGGAGCAGACAGTCCATTGCTCTAAGACGTTCTTGTCACCTAAGCACTGAGTACAGCCTGAGAACGCACAACATGCACACACACGAACTCGGACAAACAGGTGAGATGTGGCACATGAGGAAGACGAGAAAAATGAACTTCACTGACACCCCAGATCCATGAAGAAGTGACACACGCAGCCTGCTCGGGTGCCAGTGACTCCTCGAAAACAGCCAAGGGCAGCATTTGGAGAAGCAGCACCGCAGGCCAGGAGGGTCTGGGGGCTTCAGAAGGGAGGGGTGCCCCCGACCAGGTGCTGGGGGCTTCAGGAGGGAAGGGCGCCCCAATCAGGTGCCAGGGCTTCAGACGGGAAGGCGCCCTGACCAGGTCCTGGGGGTGGCAGGACAAGCCCTGGGTCCCCTCGTCACTTTTCACTCCCTACTCCCGAATCTCACCCTGAAGTTGCAGCAAGTCCAGGTATTCATTTACCCATAAAATTAAGTATCTGTGAGTAACACAAGTCACTAATCCACAGATATCTGAGTCCACAGATATCTCCCAGAGATGCCACCATCCATTCTGGTAGAAGAGCAGCCCAGGGGCCCACACTGCTAGGAAGGGAGACTGTCTTCAGCCTGACGCTGCAGAATTCTCAACACAAAGTCTACCTTCTGGAACCATGCATCTCCTACAGAAGCAACTAGTGGCATACAGGGTTTTTTAAAATCTGTTTTTTCTTAAGACAGTCTCACTCTGTCACCCAGGCTGGAGTGCAGTGGCACAATCTCAGCTCGTTGCAACCTCTGCCTCTGGAGTTCAAGTGATTCTCCTGCCTCGGCCTCCCGAGTAGCTGGGATTACAGGTGCCTGTCACCAGGCCCAGCTCACTTTTTGTATTTTCAGTAGAGACAGGATTTCACCCTGTTGGCCAGGCTGGTCTCGAATGCCTGACCTCATGTGATCCACACGCCTCGACCTCCCAAACTGCTGGGAATACAGGCAAGAGCCACGGTGCTTGGCCCATATAGCTGTTTAAATTTGACTAAAACTAAATGCAATTAGAAGTTCAGTTTCTCATTTGCACTTCAAGCATTCAGTTACCCACAGGCGGCCACGGACCAGAGGCTGGTGGAGATGTCACACTCCACACTGCAGAAGGATCTACGGACGAAGTGGCTCTAAGATCATCTCGACATCTTTATATCGAAGCTACTGAAGTTTTACTCTGCTTATCATAGACATCAGCATTCTCTCATTTAAAAATGTCAGTGCTATTGCAATGATCAGATCAGTGACTTCCCAGCACCTCTTCTCTTCCTGTACAGATAACTGCAGAGCATCTGCACTCTGCCTGCACACTAAGGGACAGCAGAAGCCTCCGTGTAAAATCGGGGAGAAAAAAAAAATGAATCCCTAGTCCCTCTCTCCCTACAATTTTGTGAAGCGTCTCTTAATATTCAGAATAACTGCCGGAGTTACAATAAACAAACATCCCTTGACCAGGAAGCAACAGGGAAGCAAGAAAAGGAAGATGCGAGGACCCTCCATTCCCTCTGGGACCCCAGGCCCAGCCAGGACTGAGAAGGGCAGCACAGCCCGGCAGACCTGCACACCTGATGCAAACCATGCACATGGCTTCCCTGGGAAGCCCTCACTGGCCGCTGTGGCTCTGGTAGAGGGAGCTCCCTGAACCCCAACACCCACAGTCAGTTTCCTCCTTGCAGGTCTCTGCTGTGACTGCCTGAAGTGCCTCCCTGATGCTTCTCATCATCCGGGTATGGTGCCCCCTCTATCCCATAGCCCTTGCTACCACCCACCCCACCACGAAGCCTGGCACACAGCAGGTGCCTGAGATGCCCCAATGGGTGGGCATGCCAGGGTAGGGCTTGGAGTTCCAAGGGCCACGTCCCGCATACCACCACAAGCACCGCGGAGGCTGTGGAAGGGGACCAGGCTTCAGGCCTGCACTCAGCTTCTCCCGCCCCCGAGGCCAAGAACCTAGCAAGGGAAGGCAGCCGGAAGCAGGATTCCAAACCCCCTTCTTGCTCCTCAAGAGGAAAGGGGCCTCAGGGCAAAACCCCACAAGTGCCTTCCTCCTGCCATGCTGCCTGTCATAGCACAGACACTGTCACAGCAGGGAAACCCACTCCTGTGAGGAGAAAACCAAGTACCACAGGAGCCACGTCCACTGGCAGCGTCTGCTGAGCCCAGTTAGTGACAACAGCAGCCAGGCCCCCACACAGCATGCACCGACTCTGACCCGCCTCGCACACCACAAGGTCCTGAAGCTCAGCTTCGACTCATCAGGGGCCTCTTCCAGGAGAGCTCGGCATGTCTACCTTCCCTGGGCTCACAGAAAGCTGAGGGACTCAGTCCCGAGTGTGAACAGAGTCAAGCTCCCACTAGCTGTGCAGACAACCTCCCCAGCCCTGGCCTGGGAAGGGGCCAAGCAGAAACAGCCATCTTTTGCCCGCACAGGTACAGAATTCAGCCAGCTCTCTCAATGGAGTCATGACAGGTCAACTCCAGGCTCCTCAGGGCTCTGGGGTTCACCTCGGGCCACTGCACCTTTGAAATGTGGCTGCAGACTCCTCTAGGCTGCTCGGTGTCACAGCCCATTTCATTCAGACACTGCAGGCCCCAACCCGTGGTGTCACTACCCAGGACACCCCTGCCGGCATCCTCCGAGATGCTGCTGCAGCTGCTGTGATCTGAGAACAGCCACGTGCAGGCATCAAAGGGAGGGCTTCTCAAGTCTCCGAGAGCAGTGGCTACAGCTTCGGAAGACATTGCACTGAATCCTCGGTGAGCCTGGCTCGGTCTGCAATCTAAGCCGGGTTGCTGGGGAGATGCACTCTGTTGTAACTGATGGAGGCTGTTGGTGGCAGCTCTACCAAGACCAAGGATGGCAACTAATCTGAGATTTACAATCCATACTTTCTATCTGATGTTTACAAGGAAAGCATCGTGCAAGTTCCAGTAGCAAGAAATTTTCTATAATCTATCACATCAGGATACAGCAGAAATGTAAGTTAATAGGGTCTATGCAGAAGAAGAGATGGGTCTATTTCAGGAAAAGTGCTTGCTGGCTTTTTTAGAAACAGAGTGAAGTCCCTGCCAAGTACAAGGTTGTTTATACTTTTGCTTTGGAAACAGAGGGAAAGTTCTTCCTTATTATTCAAATACATTAACTACATTTAAGTGTTCTGGTAGACTAAGTATTCAATATTCAAAAATAAGTAATTGTTTGGTCTATTTCATTCCTTAAATGTAGCTTTCAAAAACTGAAACACCTGGCCGGGTACGGTGGCTCGCGTCTGTAATCCCAGCACTTGGGGAGGCCGAGGAGGGCAGAACACGAGGTCAGGAGATTGAGACCATCCTGGCCAACATGGTGAAACCCCGTCTCTACTAAAAGCACAAAAAATTAGCTCGGCATAGTGGCGGGCACCTGTAGTCCCAGCTACTCAGGAGGCTGAGGCAGGAGAGTGGAATGAACCCTGGAGGCGGAGTTTACATTGAGCGGAGACAGCACGACTGCATTCCAGCCTGGGTGACAGAGCAACACTCCCGTCTCAAAAAAAAAAAAAAAAGTGACAAACACCCCATGTCTGCCCTGGCTCCCACCATCTTCATGGAGTGGACAGAGCTTGGGAAAAGCTCACTGTGGAGGCCCAGAAGGCCGGGCCAGGCCTTTGCTCAGCAGATGAGAGGGTCAGCCACCCTAGGGAAGAAGCCCATATTTGCTATGTTACTGACAATATCCACATAAGTTTCTATTTTGCCTCCCACACAGACCTGGGATCCATATTTGAGCAAGCGGCTCATGCCAATACACCCTCCATGCCATCGTTTTCCTGACCTCCCCAAGAAGAGCTAGGCCAGGCAGCGTCCCCACACAGGCGCTGGGGCCCAGGAAGAGTCGGGTCCTGCCCCCTTCTCCCTCGTCCCTGCACTTGGCTTGCTGTGGAAGCCCAGCAGTGCTGGCTGAACCCACGTTCACCTGGGGCGTTCAGGAGAAGCCTCTGCAGAAATCAGCTGGGAAGCAGGGCTGTGTGTGCTGGCAGGTCACTTGAATGGATTTGTGCAACTGAGTTTTCAACACAGGTGCTGCCAACCAAGTCCCTCAAGCCCTTCGTGAGCCTAGAGCCACAGAGCCATTTGCTGCACTCTATCTCTAACCACCCTGCACAGAAGCCCAGTTTATCCAAAGGACCATAAAATTGTGCGTGGAAACACTTGAAGTTTGGCATAATGAATTAAAAGTGAAGTCACCACATCTATTTTCCATTAATCCATGCATTCAAACAAGTGTCTCTTGAGTATGTGCATTGAATACTGTGGAATTAGGATTTAGTCCATGCCCTCAAGAAATATACATCACAGAGGAAAAGGTATAGCTTGTAACTGTAACGGTGGTGAACAGGCAAGAAATAAACATCATAGAAGAAAAGGTATAGCTTGTAAGTGTAACAGTGGTGAACAGGACAGAATTTCACAGGCTCATCAGGAACCACCAAGGAGGAAGCGATGATTCATTTCCATCTGCAGTAGATAAATGTTTCCTGGACAAAGTAACTTTTCTACAGTGATATCTGCTCCTTATTGTTTAGATCTTGCTTGATAGGGTATTAAAATTACCACTTTCTATGTGCTGCTTATATAAAATACATCATTGTCAAGGGAGGTTATAAGTTATAAAATAACTTAAATACTTCACACATAAGCCTGGGCTATAAATGGTGGAAGGGAGTGGGATGATGTGTTCCCGTATTCTTGAGACACAGAAGGGGCAAGACCCTGGTTCCCTTCTCCTCCCCACTGCCCTGTTCCCAGATAAGGGGCAGAGGCAAGGCCGCCGTGCAGCCCTAGAGCTGGCTCCAGGGCCAGGACACCACGCCCAGCCTCTCTGCGCCCCATGCGAGAAATACAGTCTGGGGGGCAATCACCAAGTTACCTGGCGCTGGGGAGAGTCCTTCATCAAAACCTGTGCTTCCAGGAGCCAGGACAAAGCAGGAGCCCCCAGGAAAAGTGTTCCAGGTGCTCCTGAAACCTGGGCACAGGGTCACAGCCTGGCAGGAAGCACTAGCGATGCAGGTGTGCCCAAGACTGGGAGGATGGCCAGACGCTTGGAGGCCAGACTGTCCTGCAGGAGATGACCACTTCTCTCTCCTGTTCGTTAGAGTCAGAGTCTGGGCTTCAATTTTGTATCTGGAGTCTCACAGTACAGAAATATCACAAAGGGATTAGACTTCGTATACTTACCCCAATGTTTTTTCAGTTAAAAAAAATCGTGTTTCTTGTGACTAATTCTAAATCCAACAAAGAAAAATAATTAAGTGTAAAAACACATGCCTACAAAATGTCAACCACAATCTCTTTACCCATAGAGACCCAAAATTTAGTTTACGTTTTCTTCAGTATTGTCTGATTTCTTTTTTTTTTTTTTAAGCCATTACTGAGGTGTCTCCTCACTGCCCCATGAGGAGGTTCATGGGCTCTTCAGGGCTCTTTGCTCTTTTATCGTTTCTTAGGTTTAAGGACAGGATCATTTTCCTACACTTCTTTGCTTCCTTGATCACCAATTTTTCACAAGGACGCCATTGTGCATCGGAAAACCTAGCAAGTGAACTTCATTAAAAGTGAAAACAATAAGGACATGTTGGCTGCTATGACAGCATCCTCAGTCACCGAATCTCCCTGGGGGACCACGCCCCAATCTCCTTGTAACCCCAGCATGCAGGTATCGCTGTGGCTGACAGGACTGGCCCACCCTGGGGGAGGCATGAAAGCAAAGAGAAGGCAGGTGACTCATATTTAGGAAACTCGGGTGATCCTCTTGAGTCATGTTTCTCAGGGTGTCAGGGGACCAGCCACATACGGGGAACCTCCTGGCCTGGCAGGTGGCAGATTCCTGGGACCCGCTTCAGACAGGTTAATCAGAGAATCTAAAGGCGGGCGAACTCTGAAAAGTATCTGTAAAGGAAGGACTCAAGCTCTGCTGTGAGCCCACTACACGTGGGGTCACACAGGACGCAGCTCCCAAAAAGCCACCCAGCGTCCAGTCTCCATTCCACCCTCATGGGAGGAATACCCGTCAAGTCATAGAACACGGGCTTCAGTGAACGCCTTCCTGCGCCACCTCCACTGTCGCCCAGCCCTGCAGGAGTAGCCGCTGAGTAGGGGACACAAGCCTTTGCTCCTGACTTTGCTCCTGACCCTGCCCCCGACACGCGTCACATTCTCACGGAAATCCCAGTAGAGTTCAGTCGCAGCCGCCTTTCCCTCACAGCACCCACCTCTTCCACAATCGAATCCCAGGCTTGTCCTAGGCCCTGCTGCGCATGACACCATCTCTGGCACCCGGACCTCAGACTGTCCTCACGCAGCCACCCGCACCTTCCCGACAGGGGGATCCGCACGCCCCGGCAGCTGCTACCCGTCTCTACCAGGACATTTCAGAGATTACTCAGCAAACTCGATGCCCTTAGACTGAACACGGCTCTTCCCTCACAGACCCTGTCACTCCAACACGTCACCATCTACCGGCCACATGCAACAAGCCTCTCTCCCTCCACACTGTTGCCCGTTGGGCCTGGCCCTCCGCCCTGTCCACACTTCCATTCCAGGACATTCCTCTGGGATCAGCAGCCCCAGACTCATCCCCAATACCTACCGCACTGAAAACAAACTTCTTCTTGACGCATCAAACAAAACACAGAAAACCACCCTCAAGAACCACATACCTTGAGTCATAGAGGAACACTGTGAGCCCTGACCCTGGAAGGGATCTGTGAATGTGAGTACTTCTAGCCCTGTCCCGACCTTCAGGGCCTGGCAAACCCACACGCATGCTCTCCTCTCTCTCCAGCTCCCAGCCAGATTCTGCCATTTTCCTCAGCTTTAAGGCAACACCCAAGGCTTCTCACATGGCCCAGAAGCCAGCCCTCGATGGCCCCATGACCTCCCTCCTGGGGCTCATACGGCTGGATGCTCCCTCCCGCAGAGCTCAGGGCTGGTCAGTATGGCCCAGGGGACCGGCCACCTTGACACTGGGTGTAAGACCAGCACTCCCACGTCTCTGGGGAAAGGAGCGGCCCTGGGCAGGGATGCACCTGGCAGCCCCAGGGAGGGGCCGGGTGTGGAGGACCAGGCCTCCGCCCGCACACATGTCAGCACAGCATCCTGGAGCAGAACCTCCAGCCCAGCTGAGCCTACAGATGGCCACAGCCCTGGACAGGGACAACATCTTCACGGTGACCCAAGGGGACTGGGCCAGAACCGCTCAGCAGGGCTGCCCTGAATTTGCAACCCGTAGAAGCTGTACAGTCATACGTGTATGTTGCCTTAAGCCACTAGGCTTTGGGGTCACTTGTCACACAGCGACGCACAGTGGATGCGCACGGGCTCCCAGGACACGACGGCCTCTGCCGGCCTCACCCGGCCTGTCTCATCTGTTCCCGCGACATCACGTTTCTCAGAGCCAAAGGCTGCCCGGGCCCCCTCCTTTCTTCATAAAGTCATTATAAGCTCACAATACAAAGTGAAAAGCAATCTGTAAAATACAATGTATGACGTAATACAGGGTGGTGAATGCACAGGTGTACACGTGCGAAACAGGCACATGCGTGAAACAGGTGGATGTACACACGAACAGGTGTACACACATGAAACAGGTGCATGCATGAAGCAGGTGTACACATGTCAAACAGGTGTGCATACATACGTGAAAGTACCAGACATGAAGGGCTGTCTTTGGGAGCCTGGTTTTTAGGCATCTCCCTCACCCTTTTAGCATCTGGCACAATCACAAACACAGCACACCACAGTACTGAGGGGAAGCCCCAGCTTCTCAGGGGGGCACATGAGGCTTTTTATGTATGCCACAGGTTGCATCACTACTTTCTAGAACTTCAAGGACCCCCACTAAGAGGACTGGGTCACCAGCCCACACGGACCTGCCCCTCGGATGGTGTGGCTGCTTGTAAAACAGAGGCTGAGCCCCACCCAAAGACCTGCAATACCTGTTATTCAATCAAGACTTGGCCATGGATGAATGTGAAGATTTTTATTAAATGTGACTCTGGAACATTCAAAGGACCGTAGCTGAATGCTTTCTGCAGCCCACGGCATGTCCAGATGCTCATGGAGAAGGCCAGGGGTGGGAACCCACGGAGCCCCGACAAGGCAGACTCGGAGCTGTGTGCGCAGTAGCACCGAATTTTGTTTTGACACTGCCTTTATATTCAGATTAAAATAAGAAAAACAAGACACACAAGTAGCTCACATTCTATTTCAATTCTCTGGATTTCCTGTAGTAACTGGGCCCCTTCCCTCTGGTTTCCCAGCAAGAGTTAAATAGGCCCAGCTGGGATTTGTCAAAGTCTGGGCCTCTGTTGGTAGAGTAAGTGAGGGGGGCAGGGAGGGAGGCGGGGGATAGGGAGTGACAGAGGGAAGCAGAGAGAGAGAGAGAGAGAAACCCCCGAGGGCTGGAGGCAGGAGGGATGCTCCCTGGCAGCCTCAGGCTCCCCCTTCCTAGTATCTGAGGGCTGGCATCATGCGTGGCAGTGCCGTCATATGATTCGGCTGACAGATGCCAGAATTACAATAAAATGCTTAAGGAGAAAGATAAGCACTAGCATCTTCAGATTAGGATAGTGTCCAAGTTTCATGCTTGCCTTGTGTATCATTCTATAAATTGTAAAGAATAATGGCATTTTCTTACCAGCCACGCTGTTCAGCAAATACTAACTATAATAAAGGCCAGGACAGCATCTGAGTACTGGAGCTGTGTGTCAAGCCCGGTGAGGTAGGATTCATTTTACTTTGATAGAGAAAGAAACAGGCTCTGCAGGAAAACTTCCTGAGGCCAGGCAGCCATCTCCAAAAACCCACCTCATGCCTCCTGACCCTGAATATAGAGAACCCCAAGTCATTCACGTGAATAATTTACCCCACCATGCATGTCAGATTGAGATTCAGCCCCCAGATCTAATCATCTCTATTACAGAAATGTGTCAAGGAAGGTACAATTCTATGACCTCGAGCTGGGGGAACAAAGGCAAGGCACCCTCGACACAGATGTGCGGGTGGGACGGCGGCGCCCAGCGCAGGGGCGGGCAGGAGCACGTCCAGCCCTGCCCAGTCACACAGCCACCCTGCATGCCAGTGCAGGGGCCGCCACCGGCTCTTGGGGAAAAACAGACTTCTCCTGCACAGGAATCTACCCCTGAAAAGTGTGTTCCTGAGAAGGTGTGGACCAACATCTCAGAATCATGACACTGTAACACACTTATCTATACAGGCTCCTGTGTCCGGGAATCACCAATAATTCCCATCTCACCATCAATTATTTCTGGTAAATATTGATTCAGTTTAAACTGAGTCAACACAGGAACAAAATAATGGAAAATGTCAGTGGAATCTGCTCCACCTGCTGAAGAGCTGGGGACTAATGATGAAACGGAAGGAATCCTGAGAAACGCAGCAGGACCCAGACCCCGCGGGACCACCCGTCCTCCCCCACGGACCACTCCAGCCTCCTTCCAGCAGAGTTAGTCGTGGGGCCAAGGAGTAGTTTCCAAGGAATCTCAGAGGTTCCTCAAGGTCTTCAAAGTTTAAGCGGGAATTGAACATTTGCATCTGAGTCCCAGGAGCACATTAAAAGTAAATTTCTCCTTTACCACTAGGATATTGAGCTTGGTTCGGTGGCACTGGCT